GGTGAAAAGGAGAGCATCATGTGAGGAAATATATTTTAGTACTTCATCCAGATTTAAAATAAGTAGATAAAAGTTACTTAACGTGCCTCTTCTTTTCCACCTCCAAAAAGCACTGATCTAATTTAAGAGCAGTCAGCTGATATTGGTAGGTTCTTGGGGTTAAGAGGCCATACTGGGTAAGAGCCAGATGCCTTTTTCAGCTCCCCTGTCTGCAGGTGCTTTGGGGAGGGCAAGGACTTGCAGAGGTGCAACATCAGTCTACTTCAGTTCTCTCACCTGCAAAACCTGGCAAGGCTCGTTTCCCATCATTCTACATATCAGGCATTGCTGTTCATAGGAACAGGCCTAATTCTACCCTCCACAGTGCTGCTATAAATTCAGATTAATTCTGTTGGCTTCAGTAGGTTTATTTGCTCTTTGTTAAAACAATGTAAACTACAGTGTTGTGCATCTGCTGTTAGCACGAGAGCTGTCTTGTTGCTGCCATGGTTAGGAATGTACTCTATTGCAGCCTAACATCCTAGAAGAAATAGAATGTTTTGGATTTTTTTCCTAATATTTAAGGAAGAGGGATTTAATGAACCACAGGACTGGATATTTTGCAAAGTAAATGCACATTCAGCTCTTTTTCTTGGTTAGGAACATGCCATTGGCATGGAAAGGACCCAAGTAATTGCTTTTGGAAGAGTGTGGTCTTAGCAAGAACAGGACAAACTTTCTGCTCAATTGTCTTTGTTTTGCAGTACTGAAAGTTTGAAGTAGGCTCATTACATGTTTCACCAGAACCTGGTTCCTGTTAGTTGCTCTGCATGGATTAAGTGGTTAAAAATGTTTTGAGAATGCTTGGCTAGATAGTTTGTGGGAACACCATCTGTTTCCTTTAACGCGTAAACAAGGAAAATTGCTGGTTTGAAATGCAGGATTATTTAAAGTTGGATGACCAGAGGCATTCTTAAAATGAGAAGAGGTAAAAGGAGAAAGAGTCCTCATGAGATCTGAAGTTCAGTTACATTTTTTGGGAAATAAATACCTAAGTACCATACAGGCCTGCTGTCCCTGTTCCAGAAGTGGGAGAAGGGGAAGTTTTCTTCTGCAGCCATCTCCTTCCTTTTGAAGTCCATCTTCAAACTAAATTGCCATCAAATATTCAAAACCATAAAAAATGGCTCAGCAGTGCATTGAAAGAGCATCCCATTCAGAAGGAGCAAGCTAATTTAATGTATTTATGGGTGAATATCCAAAACCAAAAGTTGCTTCCTAAAAGATTGGGTTTGGTACCTTTCTTACTTCTCCTACCCAGCTACCTCCTCCTTCCTCATACAGAAGGAGCAGTGCAACCACATGTCCTGGCTTCCCATGTGAGGTCACATTGTGGGGATATAAGAGTCAAAACAAATGCTTCACATTTTTACCTTGTAAAGTAGTTTGGGTATTCTTCAAATTACTGTTACCAAACATTCACTCAAAATACATTTTGGTGAAGAGCTGCTTCTGTTCTGGATTGACACGGAACAAGCAGTGCAGTGACATGATTAGCCTAATGAAAAGTGTTGGAAGGGGAGAGGAGTGGAGGTACAAAAGGAAACATTGTACTCAGTACAGACCAGATCAGCATTTGTAGAGGATTTTATGATGAAATTGGTCAGAACATGTTGTTACTGGATAATAATCCTCCACACAGGAAAATACACCTGAATCACTGGGAGAAAAAAAGTTGTGTTTCATGTTACAAACAAACCTTGGTTGTTGCTGTGTGTTCTTGGGTTTCTTAAAGTCCTATTTTCTGTCTTTCATATAGCTTTCTCAGAAGATTGGAAAGCAGCAGGCATAAAAGCCTCTGATGAATTTTTATTTGGAAAATAAATGCCACCTTAAGTAGAGTACACTGCTACGCTACAACCCCACAGACAGCTCAGGGCTTCTGTCTGCAGTCACCTATGTCAGCAGGCTGTGAATACACAGGATCAGGCACTTCCTATTTTAACCTCTCACTTCCTTTGACAACAGCCAGAAGCACCCAGAGCAGGGGTTTGTTTCATCCTAATAAAGGAGCAAACCTGTTTGACCACTACTTGGTTTAGTCAAGCCTGAGCAAAATGTCAAGATACACGATAAAAAAGGTCCTGCAGCACTGAGTGAAGCTGGCTTCCTTCATCTGGCCATTCTAGCTTTGGTGTAGTTATTTAGGATCGTATCACAGCACAGTAAATAAAACCCAGCACCTTGCAGTACTGTAAATCTTCCATATAGCATTTGATATGTCAGGCTTTTTTGAAAAATGGGAAAGATCTCAAAAGATGAGCTACAAGAACAACCGCAGCTGCATTGATACTCCTGTACACAGCATGAGGGAGGATCTCTATAAATAGTGGACATGAGCACAGCTGCTCTTCCAGGTATGTTCCAGGACCCACAATGTAAGGATATCATCTGCTTTGCCACTGGGGTTTCTTTTTACAAAAATAAAATACCATGTTTACCTCTCACATCAAGAGCAAATGGTTTTACTTGTGCGTGCTTGGGGACATGGTTTAGTGGACTTGACAGTGTTAGATTTACAGTTGGATTCAGTAATCTTAAAGGTCTTTTCCAAACCTTATGTATGATTCTGTGACTTATTACCTGTGCTGCTTGGGTGAGCTCTGTTTTTTATATTGGAGGACTGTGACTTTTCTTCAGGTTTGCTCATGGAAATTGATTCTCTGAGCAAGGAGATGTTAGTGGTGTCTTGTATTCTGAATGAGTTTCAGCACGAGATGCGTAGGACAGTTTATTGCTGAGCCTGTGTTAAGGCAGTTCTCTAAGGTTCTGTGCAAACCTTGGAGAACTCAAGTGCCACAAAGCTTCTGCAGAGGTGCCGTATGCTGCCTCCATGTGCAGGACTGTAAGAAACATCACACACCTGAGGCCTGGAGGAGACCTGGTCAAATTTTACTGACTTTAGGACAGAATTCTGCTTCTGGAGTAGACCATAACTGAGCAATTTATAAAATATTCAGACTGAGGGACCAGTACCTGTCTTCTAGGAGCCTGTCTCCTGCCTTGTCTGACTAGGCCACAATCAGCAGGTAAAGCGGAGCCAGACTGCAGTGGTGCCCAGTCCTCCCTGCTTCAGGGCTTCTGAGGAGCTTCTGGGTGCCTGCCAGTCTGGGTTTGTGTTTTCTCTGGGGTGGTCAAGCAGTTTCCCAGCACCTTAGCAAGCAGCCTAATGCCACAGCATTCACAGATGCAGAAGGGTTCATGGAGATGGGCTGCCCAGGAAACAGCCCTTTGGTTTTACTGTGCCCTGTCTGTCATCATTTTTAAGCACCCAGTGACTCATTTATTGAAGTTATGCCATGCTTGTAAGTTTGGAGCCTGTTGAAGGATCCTCTGCATAAACATTCCTTAAAACCAAACCTGACTTAGGTGGAGAGCATATGATTGACAGCACCCAACTGAATTTAAAAAAAAAAAGGCAAAAAATATACAGCAAACAATGCTAATCTAATCAGCAGCCCTCACTGGCAGAAAAAAGGCATGAGGAAGCAATGTGGATTTGAGTTAAAAGTTTCTTAGGCAAACAGAATAATCCCAGTAAAATATGAGAGCGTCTTGGGAGGGATAATGTCTGGAGTGATCCATTATGGGACACTTCAAGTAACTTAAGGGAGAACTTTCTTAAAAGTTTGTGTGTAGATACCTTTTACAATGGTGACCCCATGGGAGAGGAATGGTCTGACATTAATTCAGTAAATTTTAGGTTCTTTTGAAAAAACCTCTTCTGTATATAAGCCTTGTTAACCCCACACCCAACTGAGTAGGAGTTCTCTCATGGGCAGTGAACTGACCCAGTGCTCTGCAGACCCTGTTGCTTCCAGTTCCTGTCCTCTGGTGCTAATTCAAGGAAAAGCAGCTGCAAAAAAGTCTTCCCTCACCTGGATTTTCACCCCTCACCTAATGCACATCATATAGTGTCAGAACAGCTCTGTGTGCATGGCAGTCACTTCAGGGTGACAGCCTACTGACTGCTTCATGGTACAGGGCCAGAGATCACACAGTAATATTTGGGCAGCAAAATAGCACCAGCAGAGGTTAACATGTCAGCATTTCCACTGGGAACCCAGCTTTTTCCTGGGGTTAAGTGACTTTTTTTTATACCACACTATACTGAAATTCTGCCACACAAATGCTGTCCAAGACATAAGGCATTTATTTTTCACCAAATTTTATTTGGTCATTATGGCAGTTAACAGTTTACAAAATGTTAAAAAATGTAAATTCTGACTTTTTTTTTTTTTCAGAGTCTGTTGTTGCATTATATTTCAAGAATGGCTTAACATTTCCTATCTCTTAGCCACTAATGTAGACAAACCAAATGGAGACAACAAAATTGAACGTCCCTTTTTGGAAGGTTTAAGCATAGCCTTTCTATGTAAAGAATTTCCAAAGCCACAGCTCACACTCAGTTGTCCAGGATGTTGTGCTGTGGAGCACAATCACACAAGACATCCTGCCAGACTAGGTGAGAAATTCCTCCACAAGCAAAGGGTTAAATTCCCAGAGCCTGAATATAGTATTTAAGCTTCTGTCAGTAATGAGGATGCTCAACACCTCAGTAGGATCAGTTTGTACATAGTCCTGATCTCAGTGAGTGGGTGGGTGGCGTAAGCATCATTTCATGTGGTCTGTGATAATGGGCAGTCAGTGGGAATAACAGACCAAGCTCTCTTAGACCTGCTGGAGAATCTGTGCTTGACAAATAGAAGATACTGCAGCACTAGCAAGCAGCCCTGTCAGAACTGGTCTGGAAGGAAAAGATGGTGTATTTGTAGCTACTAACAGTTATTTTGTGGTGTTCAACTGTCAGAAGTATATGTAGTATATATTAGTGTTACTAATATTGCCACATAAAGCATGTATTTTAATAGTACTGGATTGTTTATATCCTGTGCAGCTACAGAAAGAACATGCCAAGATCCTCAGAGACTTAGCTTTCCTCTTTTTCTTTTATCCCACAGGTAATAACTCCAGTCAGGTCAGGACAAGGTTATGTTTATGAATTCCCCTCCAAATACCAGAAGGACACCTACGATATCCCCCCTGTTCGTCCTCTCCAAGGGGTAGGTACCAATAAAACTGCCAACAGCACTGACAGGGCACAAAAGGTGATGAATTTCCACCAGAGGTTTATGAGCAAAGCAAGTTCTCTCATTTCAGAGAGAAAATATGTTTTAATTAGATGCTGTGGCTTAGAGAGCACAGAAATATTTCAAAGTTGTATTTGATGTTGACTAAGATTTGGCAGCACACCAAACACAAAAATCCCATTTGTTTTCTGTGTTTTGATCAAAGAGTGTATCTAAAGGGAATAAACTTACTGCCTGGAAACAGTTTTTTCCCCCTTACTTTCTTCTTGCTTAGTTGACAATATTTCACTCAGTAAGGGTAAAATTATTGCCTAGATGAACAGCTACTATGCAGGGAGTTGTTTTGGCCACTTATCTACTGCACCATGTCACTGAACTTGAAATAGATCTTTGTTCTGGGGAACACCCTTAGCATTCAGCCCCCAAGGCCATAGACATCTAGAGTGGATGCTTGCAGGACCTGTAGCTCAACAACCCTGCCATCTCTCCATGGCTCTTTGACAGAGCAGCTCCTCTAGGGAACAGCACTGAAGCCAAAGAGTACATGACAGAGACAGACACTGAATGGCTGGAACAGACAGTGGCCTTGGACCACATGCAGAACCCATGGTAATGTAGGACATGCCATGAAGTGTGACATGAAAAATCTGATAGCTGTACTCTCTGCTAGTAAAACAGCTCACACTGCACCTGATAAAGCAGACAGGTGATGCTGACAGGAGCAGCCTTAGTTTCAGAATTTAGTGTGTATAAGGACAAGCTGATTCCTAAACACCTCTATTCTGTGTCAGTAAGGGTGTGATCAGTCCTGGCCACATGAATATACTGCTCCCCTCTTCAACCCAACAGGTATTTGTAATAGACTGGCCTAGATTTAACTTGGTGGAGGAAGTCAGCTGTGACTTCATCTCTCCAGCCTCTGTCCACACAGTCTCAGAAGGGACCTAGCAAACTACATTTCCTCCTAACTGCCCAAAATACCAGGCAAATCCAAGCAGCTCTCCCATATGAAACAAAGCTGAAGAGCTCTGGTCATCTTCAGGCTATTTGAGAGGAAACACAAAACCGAAACAAACTCATCTGAGTTCAGAGCTTTCCTGAGGTGACTTGTTTCTGTAACCAATTTGTTCTTTCTTCAGATTTATGACATTCCCCCCACATCGGTTAAGGGGCCTGCACTTCCAGTTCCCATGGGAGAAGCAAAAGGTTTAGGAGTCTATGACATACCACCTGCCAAAGGGGTAAGTATTACACTGCTTCCAGAAGATCCTGTGTTTTCGTGGCTGACCACAGACATGTTTAAACAAGAGTTCATGTATGATCCTGAAGAAAAAGGAGATATAGCACTTTAAAGATTTCCTTAAGTTTTTGAACTGTTAAAATTGGTAAAGTGAAGCACTGCATCAAAATTGTGAGCATTATGGAATGTGAAATTATAATTTAGACCTACATGATCTTTATTCGCTGCCTTTTTGGATTTTTCTGCTTATGAAAATCTGTATCAAGATGAATGCTAAAAAGAGAAATATTAAAACTGATAGCTCAGTCAAACACAGGATAAGTAGGTGACTCCATGAAAGTCAATGGCAGATCTTCCATCCCAGTGTTTTATAGGCCATATGAAAGATGTAAAATATTTTGCTATTCTAGCCAAAGGTTTAAAGTTTTTTTCTGTGATTCAGGTCTATGCTACACCTCCATCTGCATGCAGGGATGATACAGGCCTGAGGGAAAATTTGCAGGATTTTCCACCTCCAGTGGGCCACAGTGTAAGACCAGAAGGAGTATATGATATTCCTCCTCCCATCACCAAAGCAACTGGGAAAGAACTTAATAAATTTTCTCCTGAGAGCCTTTTATTGCCAGATGGAGTGCTGCAGAAACAGAATGTTTATGACATCCCAGTAAACCATCAAAACCATTTTCTTGGACTGCAAATTGCACCTCAAAAAGATGTTTATGATACCCCAAGGGGAACTGCATTCTCGGGACAGCAGACAGGACTTGGTGAAAGTCTCATCCCAGAAGGAAGAGAAGGTGTATATGATGTGCCACCATCAGTCCTCCAAGACACTAAAGGCTTACAGGATGTGACTGATGGGATGAATAGGTTGTCCTTCTCCAGCACAGGAAGTACAAGGAGCAACATGTCCACATCTTCAACAACATCAAAAGACTCTTCTTTCTCACCATCACCTGTACAGGACAAAAGACTAATCCTCGATCCAGACACTGCTATAGAGAGGCTGTATCGCCTCCAGCAGATGGTGGAGACAGCTGTCAATAACCTCCTGGCCTTCATTACCGCAGACTGGCGGTCTTATGGATACATGGAGAAACACATCAATGAAATTCACACAGCTGTGGATAAGGTAGAGCAGTCACTGTTGGAGTACCTCCAGTTTGCGAAAGGATCAGCAGCCAATGCTTCCTGCCTATCCGAGTTCAGCCTCCTTAACAAAATGAGGCGGGAAGTGCAAAGGCTGGAGGACTCTCACCAGATCCTTACCCAAACCAGTCACGACTTGAACAGCTACAACTGGTCTTTGAATGTTCTGGCTGTCAACAGGCTGCAGAACAAGTGTGATGACCTGGATCGGTTTGTTATGGTGGCAAGGACAGTCCCAGATGATGCCAAGCAACTGACCACTACCATCAGCGTCAACGCAGAGGTGCTCTTCAAACAGGCACTGAGCAGCTCACGTTTCAAAAACACACCAGAGAATATCATGAACACTCCTGACTACCTGTATGACAAGCAGCGCCATGGAGAAAAAGCACAGAACCACTGCAGTTCCCTTCCTCCTCTCCTGAATAAAAGTCAGCACCCTCACAGTACTGCCAGTGAGACCTCGGAAAAGAGCTGGATGGATGACTATGATTACGTTCACTTACAGGTGGGTAAACACAACACCTTTTTCTGCACAAGGCCAAGCCAGACTTGTCTGTGGCTTTTGCAGAAGCTGTTTGCAGGAAAGAGGCAATCGGATTGTCACACTAGTACATATTCAAGGGTAAATTCACTGGGCTGATTACTTCCTCTCAAATAGGACTGTTGCATACGTAATAGCATTAGCCTTTTGATCTGCCACACTATCCTGTTCTTCTCCATACTCTTACTGGTGGACTACTAGTGAAAAAGCCAACACAAAGCAGCCTGTTGTTTGTCCTACAAGTCATCATTTATCTCAGGAGCAGTTTTGATTTAACACAGTGTCTTCTGTTATGTAAAACAGGGCAAAGAAGAGTTTGAAAGGCAACAGAGGGAACTGCTGGAAAAAGAAAATATCATCAAGCAGAGCAAAATGGAGCTAGAGCACCATCAGGTATGTTTGCTTAGGTGCAGTAATCACGTTGAAATGGAGTATTCCCTGCACATAAGGAGTACTGGTCAAACAAAGCAGGAGGGGCCCTTCTCTTGGCAGTGCCCAGCTGGTAGCATCATGGCTGTGAGGTGGGTGTGAGTGCCAGCACACACAGTAGGAAAGTCCCAGGTGCTAGATGGTGAAGATGGCAGGTAGGTCTTGGCTAAACAGCAGCTCTGGGTTAGTTTCTTTAGTTAGTGTCTTTCCAAATGGGATTTGTGCCAGTTAGGCTCCACCTTCAAGGGATTTATCAACACAAAGGACAAGGACACACGCTGTCATGCTCCGAATGGGAAATGGGGAGCATCAAGATTGTAGCACCTTCCTGGCCCTGCAAAACTGTGTCAACGATTGCTTATGCCAAAAAAGTCTTAGTTTTTTCCTGCAGAGCAGGTATTCTAAAGATCAGCTTCTCTGCCCTGTTCATTTCCTTGTCACCACTTCAACATGGAGTGGAAGCACAGCCACAGCTCTCAAGTGTTCAGAAAGATGTCTCTTGTGGCAGGAATAAGCCTTGCCCTTGAAAACAACTTCCAGCCATCTCAATTTAAGAGACTAATCCTTTTTTTTTTCAAGTGTACCTTTGTGGTGGCCCCAGTGCACATGCATAAAAAAAGCAGTCAGTCTCCAAAAGTTTACCACAAAATAGAAACAGACTTCTGCAGTGTCTCATAGCGAGTCAGTCACAAAGGCAGCCTGAGAACTTGGCTTTCCTGACCTGTCATCCAGTGCCTTAAACCACGGGACCATACTTAGTACACGTGCCACCTGCGCATCTGTTTGGTGAACATCAGTATCATTAACTTAAATACTGTGCTTAACATCACTTTAAATGCTAAAAAAGTCATGTAAGGTTGAGGGCTGTCACTTCGCCCTCATATTAATTCTTCAGTATATTGTTGCCTTATCATACAGCAGAAAACTGTTCAAGCAATGTGGAGGTGAGAGTTAAAGCTTTGTCACCTAAAATCCCACAGAGATGACAGGTTTTTAAAGATTGTGTAGGAGTCGTTGCCACTTGGATCCATCTCTCCCTTGTGATTTCAGAATATTCCAAATGAGCAACAGCCTGTAAATTCAGAGGCGGTTGTTGGTGGGGTTTTTTAATGCAAATGAAATATTTTACATGTTTTTCTATGTCGAAAGTAAAAGATCTTAGAGAATGTGTGTACTACCTTTATCTAGCATAAGGTCTATCTAGGATACCCAGAGACATCCTGAGGCATCAGATGAAATTGTCACACATACCAACATGTTACAAGGATATTCCCTGAAGAAGGCCTTTCTGTTTGCCTTCCAGATCAATCAGTTTCAACGCCTGGAGCAAGAGATCACAAAGCCAGTAGAGAACGACATCTCCAAATGGAAGCCACCTCAAGCTCTCCAGACTGCAACCAGCACTGCCACCTCCCATGACAGCCAGCTGCTCTTATTCTACTCTGACCAATGCGAGACCCACTTCAACATCCTCCTCAACGCCATCGACGCCTTTTTCAGTTGCGTCAACGCTTCTCAGCCCCCCCGGATCTTCGTGGCTCACAGCAAATTCGTCATCCTGAGCGCTCACAAACTAGTGTTCATTGGGGACATGCTCACCAGGCAAGTGACGACTCAGGACATATGCAACAAGGTGATGAACTCCAGCAACCAGCTGTGTGAACTGCTGAAGGGTGTTGTTCAGGCGACCAAGACGGCCGCCTTGCAGTACCCCAACACGGTAGCCCTGCAGAGGATGGTGGACCGAGTGACGGAGCTGTCTCGGCAGGCACAGTTGTTCAAACTCTCACTGGTCCGAATGGCCTCCTTATGAAAGCCCACGGGAGCCAGCCCTTGAGCAGCAAAACAGAAGAGCAAACAAACTGGAGATATTTTTGTGTAAATGTTATCTTTTTTTATATATATATATAAAATTAATTTTTTTCAGATATTTTTATGAAATATTTCATTCTTACACATCAGAGAGTCTAATGAAATCAGGGATCTGGGAATATATCTGGTTCTGTGTTATGTTTCTAATACACATTTAGATTTGTATACACTGCATATATGTATATGTTGCTACATTCCCTAAAACATCAATTAAGCACCTTAAAAAAATATGCGTCGGGTAAGCAGTGCGTATCTTTTGTATATACTGCCTGTTTCCTCAGTCTATTTGTTAACTGGATGCTGCACTCTTCTTGTTCCATTCCATCTTGATTTTGGCACATGGACTTGGTTGTGAAACCTACTTGTAGCAATCCATGAAGCAAGTGTAATGGTTCTCATAGAACTCCATTCCCTTCCTAGAAATGACTTTCTATAGGTTAATTCCATTAACTTTCACCCTCCTGTTGATGTTACTTTGTACAGTTTGGAATTACTCTGACTAGCATATATGCACAACTGCTACAAGCACCATATCAAGCAAGGTGTACAGCATTTGGGAGAAAAGCATTTGTAGGCCATATAAGAAACAAAACCTTCTAATGAGGAAGGCATAGATGTAACTATTTAACATGTTATGACATTCAAATTTCACTATTTGTAATAACTGTGCAACATGGGATTTCAAAACATGGGTGGATTCCCAGCAATGCAAATTCATACACATGTACCTTCTTATGTCCTTACATTGGCAGTTAACAATCAGGCTCAAAAGCCTTATTTTTCATGGACTCAGAGTTACCCTGAGAGTGTTCCAGGATCCATTGAGCTCATCTTTGAGGCCACAAATGAGCAGTGTCTCAAAATTCCAGGCCCTTCCAGAGGGCTTAACATACAAATTGTAATTTATATGGAAAGAAATCTGCTTAAGTTGAAATGCCAGATATTTAAGCATCTCTGTAGCATATACACAATTTAATGGAGAAATAGCACTTATTCTTCTAGGACATGTTCTTGGGAATGAATTGCACCTGTTGCAATTCTGACTTCCCTTCACCTGTTGGGTTTTTGTTTTTTTCCAAATTCTGTAACATAGGTGCTGGCCCTTCTGCACTACACTGTAGCCAAAAATAAGCACCTGTTTTAATGGGGCCATTCCATCAGGAAGTACACACAATCCCACCCAGCAGTTTTCAGTTTAGACCCTGTAAAATTGTTAGCAGAGTGGCAGACTCCTTTTGAAATTTCATCTATGCCAGCTTCTCCAAAACACATACAAGCTTATTTGGTGCTCACTGCCTTTTGTGAACCCCCTAAAATTCAGTCACAGAATCCATTTGCCCATGGTCCTCAGACTGAAAACCATGCTTCACAGTAAGCTCAGGTAAATTCCAGGCAATTCTGGCATTTTTAAAGCTGAAACACTACTATCCTTGCATAATCCAAGGTAGTCCCGCATGGACATTTTGTGCATCAGTGAGCAGATCACTGAACACAGTCACAGCACCTAGAAAGCAGGCACTTCTGCCTAACTTCTCCCTTTCCCAGTTTGTAGCCAAACACGTGCCTTACTGAAATGGGATTTGTTGCCTCAGGTAACAAAACCATTTCAGCAGAGTATGAAATCTTGCAACCTTAATGTGTTGTTTCAGAGTGAAGACTGCTCTCAGCTACTATAATGTCACTTGTAGAACCTGCAGAATGTTCCTGGAAGGGCAGCAGGAGCCAGCACAACCTCAGCTGGACCAGAATTGGCTCCAGGCTTGGTTGGCTCTGGCCTAACATTCAGAAAGGGCAGTTAGGCTATTGAGACCAATGGCCAGTTGCCAAAAAGCAATCCACCTGAAACTGTTCTGTACTAGTGCTGTTTGAGATTCTTTTGAATTGCCTTGTCCATTTTTTTCACTGTATATTCTTAGAAAGTGAAAAAGTGTTTTGAAGCTTAGTGGTTATGTTCATAGTTTGTGCTTTCAAAAGGAGAACTTTTACTCAAGCCTGTATTACAGTTTGTATTCTAGAGAGTAATTTTAAAATTATTAAATTACTAGCTTTTTATATAAAAAAGAGGCAAGGCTTTGTCTTATTTTTTCTTGTCTTCAAACCCTTCTAAGCATATTAAAAGGAAATATTGCTACTATCAAAGCCACTCTAAAATGAGTTCACTTTCCATCTTTTCACTGATCAGCGCTTAAAGCATCTAGTGAGAACTTGAGGGTGTAAGAAGAAGCAACAGGCAGTTTCTCTGCCTGTCCAGAAGCAGCAGGTGAAACATTTATGCAGCTCAGGTACACAAAGCATCGAGTCCAAAACAGAACCATCAGAGTCAACAGTGCAGCAGGCCACCCTCCTGACCCATTCCTAGTTTCTAT